GTTTAAATGAAATCATTATCATTGAATCAGTTTCCCACTAATGGAGACACTAACATTTAATAGTTGCATATTGTCTTATAATTTACTATTTTTACAGGCATTAACTTCCATGCAAACCAATTATTCTACTGACAAGTATTGCTATTGGCATGTAGAATTTTAGAGGCCCCAAAGGAATTGCAACAGAATTAAGGATGGGAAATAGAAAGAGCAAGGGAGAGAAAGCAGAGGGAGCTGAATAGGCATTTATTACCAGTACCAAATTTCTATTACTACTCCATCCAAATAATACTGAGAACAGTGGCAGGGCTTGTCTTAGTTGCCTTATTACTATGTCATGAGGGGAAAACATATCACTGGACAAATAGTCATGGGTAACTAATTTTGGACTGGGCAAGCTAAAGTGCTATAACAAATAGACTGGAAATATAGTGTCTCAAACAAAAGAGAAGTTTATTTTCTTATTGCTTAAGAATCCAGAGCATGTTGCAGGCCAGCTGGAGGTAGAGCATGGGGGTGGCTTTACTTCAAGCAGACTGATGACTGCTCTGTCATTTTCAGTAATTGGCTTCTGAGATTACTCTTGTCCTTCTCATTGATATCCCATCTTACCACAAGGGGAAAAGAACGTAGAAATGGCACATATCACTTCATCTAGTACTGTGTTATAGATAACTTAGTACCATAACCACACTTAACTAAAAGGAGGCCAAGAAAAAAAATTTAGATAGTCAGCCAGGCACCCAACTAATAAATGGAAGAAGGAGACAGTGGCTTCTGGAGAACAGCTAGTAGTCTCTGCCACAGTGTGGCCTTTTGCCCACCAAACATCTGTGCCATCCTTCCTTCCACGTTTTCACTGACCTCCCACCCCGTGCACCAAAGGAGACAATACGAAGTGCTACTCCTTTACTGCATGTATCTCACGATGTGTGCTCTCTGCATGATGCCCAGTCTGCTCCACTGGGGTCAGAGGCATCTCATGTTCTGGTGACCAACCAAATAACAGACACGTTTTCTGCCTTCTCCATCACCACAAAAAATGTACATTGAAGCAAGGACAGAATAACTGCAACACAAACTCCAATACAAAAGTAGAACAATGGGGAACATACAAGAGTCGCTAGTCTAAATAGTGATAGAATCCTGGGCAGGCATCATGAGGAACTTTGCCATGGCACTGAAGAAAATTCTTTGATTGAATCATGTCTCTTTCCCTAAAAGGAGCTTCTGTGCCCGTGGTTCTTTGTGGCCTCTGGCTTTGTTCATGGAAGGTTTTGTTCTTGTCCATCATCCTCTATGATCAGATCTAAAGTGGGTGCCATGGCCTGTGCCTTCACTGTACACTGTCAAATACTAGGAGTGAACTTCCTTTGGATGCAAGTTCGGGGCCCTGAGGACCATTTTGCAGTTTGAAGAGTCTGAAGAGTCAGGGTTATTAAGAATAGAATAAAATTCTCTCAAAAACTCCCAAAGTTTCCAACATATTTGCTTCCAGTCAATGTAATGCAGCCATAATCACAAATTACTTTCCTAAACATAGTTCTTAAACCTGCTTTATTTTTCTCACTCAACTTAATCTTAAGGGCATCTGAAACAATACTCCTGGATATAAGGACGACAGATTTATATCTCACTGTTTGGGGTCCAGAAGCTGCTGAGTGTTACAAATACCTCTGTGTCCTTCCATCCTTGTTTTAAAGCACTCAGTACTTGACAGTGTAATATCTTGTTATAGCAGTGGGGGCAGTTATAGTCAGTAACATTTTGGCTGTTTCCAACTCCTTCCCCTCAAGCTAGAAGCTAAGCAGGTACATGGTCTGCTTTCCAAATATCAGAGTGATAGTCTGGTAGAGCCACTCAGCCAAATACCCAGCTACCATTGAAGGAAAGCAACTAGGAGTCACCCAGAATACCCTACCTGATATTATAAATTGCAGATGCATTGCATATTCTTTAATTGCTTCAATATTGTTGCATTTTAAAATTACTCGTAATCTCATTGAAGGTAGTAATGGAGTCTTAAATTTTTCTAATATCTGTAACACAGTGTAACACTGTTCATTTTATGAATATTTATTGATAATCTTATGCTTTAAAGAAACATAAGCTATTTTTTTTATAGCTGCCTGTGATCTTTTCTGATTTTCCTATCCCATTTTAATCACCTTATAGACTTACGTAGGGTAAGACCGAACAATTAAATTTTAGTTTGAATGTAGATGGGAGCTTTTTCTTTATAATTCATGCAACCAAACTACTATGTGCCAAGCACTGCCTACCTAGGATACAATGGTATGTATGTGTGTGAGTGTGTGTGTGTGTGTGTGTAAGTATGCATGTGTGCTTTAAGATTGACTTTTAATAAATATATTTGAAAATTAAGGTAGAAATCAATGATCACTAATTGAAACACATATAAATTTCCACTTTATATAAATAATCATTCAGAAGATCATTGAAATACTTCTGTTAATTATTCATCGAAACTTTGTAGAGTGTCAATACATCCAAACTAATCGTACCACAGATACTGTTCAGAGATTCTTATTAGCACTTAGTAAATGTGACTCTTGATCTGGGATTTTTTATGTTAATTATGATTCTCAGTTATCTAACTTTCTGATAAGGAGCTAATTGGATGGTTCTAGCAAGTAATGTCCAATTGAGGAGCAGTTGCAAGGCTAGGGACCTGACATCAACTAAAGGATGCTCAAGACTAAGCCAGGAGCTCAAAGATAAAAGCAAATTGTAAAAGAGAAGAATATAGTTTAAACTCCTCCTTCTCTGGTGAACAATAGAATCTATCAATATGATTTTTTTTATTAAAAACTATATGGCATCAGGCAGGACGAGAATATATGACGCATAGCATGGCTTCTACCACCAACATGTTACCAAGGCAAATAACTTCTCTCCTTAAATCACTAACCAGTTCCAATAACCTAAGAAATTATAAAGATACTAGTTTTAGACATATCTACAAAGTATTTATCCATGAGTAATTTTAAATTACAACCCAGTGTTCTGAATATTATTTAAAGATATATCAATAGCCACTATAGAAACAATCAATTTCTCCCTTATTTGCCATTATTTGTCCACTACCTCAGCTTCTAAATTGGTATATATTTGTCTTTGGTGATGAAAGTAAGCCCTTGACATTAATGGGAAATTTGAAATATAAAGAATTTTTGACATCAATTAGAAGCAATTTTGATCTGTTATATCAATATCTACTGGATGTCAACTGGAAGACAGTATCTGGATATCAGGGTCCTGGAGAAAAGTCATTAAATCAAAATGTTTGAAATCATTCCAAGTAGGGCTGAGTCTACTGGGAATCAGTTTTTTAACTACATTTTTTTTAAACACTGAATGATTAAAACATTGGGAAATATATTATATTTTAGAATGCACTACAATCTTCTATTAGGATTCTCATCTAAGCCAAAAGCGATAAAAATTAAAATTCGACCCTAGTGTTAAAACTTCAATTATAGAAAATGAATAAGTCTTGCAGATCTACTGTGTAACACAGTACATATAGTTAACAACACTGTATTGTATAGTTAAAATTTTGCTAGATTTTATATTAAGAGCTCTTGTCAATAATAACAATAATAATAATAATTAATAGTTATAGTAACACAAGAAGACAGGAAAAAGCTTTTGGAGGTGATGATATGTTTATGTCATAGATTGGCAATGGTGTATACTTATTCATGGGTGTATACTTATTATGAAACTCATCAAATTGTGTATATATTAAATATGTACAGCATTTTATATGTCAATCATACCTCAATAAAGTGTTTTTTAATTCCAGTATACTACTATAATATTTATTAAATCTGATCACATAATATAGAAACATAATAAAATTAAGAATTGCATATGATTGATTACTCAAGATAAGCAAATGGTATACATTTGAGAATTAAAACATGTCTTTAATTGTCACTATTTTAGATAGAAATAGATCTAAGTTATATTATTAGGAGCCATCTTTTCCCATGCAGAATATGCCAAACATTATTTAACTGAATCTGTATAACTCAGGTGGGTTATGTTATTTATTAACTAACGTCCTGAATCTGTCAAGTCAGGAGACAAAACCTGTACCTATCATTTTAACAGTAAGAATTTAATATATGGGATTGTTAGGTATGTATAAAGTTGTTGGATGACTAAATAGAGAAAAAGAGAACTGCCACTGCAGGAAAGAGCTACCTTCCGTAGGACTTAGTGAATAAAGGAAATAGGGTGGATTGTTGAAACCTAGAAACTTGAAGAGGGGTGCCTGTAGAACTGAAACTTAGTCCTCTGAGGAGGGGGCACTTGTTTCCTGCCATTGGTGTTCCTCAGCTCAGAAAAGGGGCCATGCTGAGCTGGCAACACAGACCTCTGGGATATAAATAATCATACATAAATACATGGATGAGAGGTATTTGACACTGTAAAATAATAGGTTTTTTTGTCTTGAATTAAAATAAAAAAAACTTTTATATCTATACAGTATTGTACAGGACTTTGCATATATCAAATTACATCAATTCTTGTAATTTGTGAATTGACAAGAAGCATTTAATTTGGGAAATATTATATCAAAACTAAGTATAAAGCAAGTAATTATATCTGTCATATTCATGTCTATTAAATTGCTGGTTGATAATAAAGCAATCCTGTGGAAGGGAGAACTAAAATTCTAACTCTTTAAAGTAAGTATTTGTTTCTCTCCTGCTTAAAACAAACAGCTTTCCAATGAAACAATTCTAATCCTATTTATACTTACATTTAGAAAGAACTCATTATATTAACAATGATTAATAGAGTTAGAAATGGATTTCACAGAGATTATTTCAGTAGCTTTTTATAATTTTATCAACAAACAAGTTTTTTTTTTTTAGTATTTCCTGGTGGTAGCATGGAGAAAAAGAAACATTATCCATGTATTTTTATCAATGTAGAGGGTTAAAAATGTTTAAAGTACTTCTTACCTATTAACATCCCAGATTTTGCTAGTTGTATCCAGTGAGGAAGAAGCCACAAAATCACCACAGGAGTGCCACGTGCAGGACCATACTGCATGGTTGTGTCCTTCAAAGGTCAAAATGCAATCGCCTTTAGACAGGTCCCATAATTTAACTGTAGTGTCACCGCTTGAAGTAGCCAATTTGTTGCCACTATTTGCAAGAATATAAAAAGGTAATTTGTTAAAAAGTCAATTTATGATTATTTTTTATGAGTGATTATATGCTATCTGTAATTTGAGTGTGTGTATATCTGAGTTGTTTTTGCTTCTAATGACATACTAAATGCTTGAATATTATTTGACTCCATACAATTAGATATTTATTTGTATTGTTTAGTAATTCAAGTTGATGAGACAAACTGCTGTTGCACACTTTCTAAATTAATTCTTCTATATTCTTTTAGATTAATTCACTAAGTCAGTAATTTTGTTTTTAGCATGTATGAGTTTTGGGGCAAGTGTTAGGTTCTGTGGATAATGTAGCCTCAGAATGATGAAATTTTAGACATTGGCTAAGGTAATTTCAAAAACATAATACAATACAAAACAACAGATCAGCATTGTTTATGTTTGGATTAACTAAATGCTCCAAGAATGCAGTTTCAATGCTGAACGAAGTGAACCGGGAATGAGATTTTGATCTAGATCTTGAGAGAGGAAAGATTTTGAAAAGTTGAGTGGTTGAGGATGTCATTAGATTTTCTATTTAGGTCATTGGTAGATGTTTAAAAAAGCAATGACTTTCAAGTGGTGGACATGAATGCTAGTTTAAGAAATGAATGGGTGTTAATGACATGAGCAGAAACATCTAGGACTTTTTGATAAAATATTAATTCCAAGAAAATTTTAATTCCATCAGTTTCTTCACATCCTTCTGCATTGCATGTTCCTTCTATGTGTTCTCTTAGTAACTTTTCTTTCCCTGAATATAATGAATTGCTTATTTGTACTCTTTCCCTGTGATTTTGATTGAGAACTGTTTCTTCTCTCTGTTTCACTGGCATAAAGTACTAGGATTGACTAGTTGAAGTACTCAGCAAATGCTTCCAGAATGAATAAATATATGAATGAATGAATGAATGAAGTTGTGCCATAAAAGAATAAGGAAAGGTACTCAGTATTTCCAAGAGAGGGAATGGCAAGATCAAAATGAGTGTTTGCTTACTTGCTTTTTTTTTTTGCTTCTTTTTATGCTGAGAGAAATACATTTTTAAGTGCAGGGGAGAAACAACCACTGGACAGGGAGAGCTTAAAGGTGGTGAAGGAAAGGTGGATTATAGAGTGAAGAAGTTCTCATTAAAGTTATAAAAGGATATCCATTTTACTTTTCAGATTAGCAGAATTAAAAAGAAATTACTCTGACAGGTAGTCCTTCACTAATAGATAGATATTTAAAACTGTCTTTTACTTTGCAGCTGTTGTTTATTTGTACATATATTTGCCATCCAAAATTTTAATTTTTAATACTTAATACCTAAAAATACATTTGTCTAAAAATATCCAAGCAGGAGTGCCTAGCTGGCTCAGTCCATAGAGCATAAAATTCTTAATCTTGGGGTCGTGAGTTCAAGCCCCACGGTGGGCCTAAAGCTTACTTAAAAAAATATCCAAACAAACATAAAAATCAAAAATAATTTAATTTTGCCTATTTCCCAAATCCGTCCTTCTGGTGGGCTATCATGCTATTATGGATATAAGTCTTGCTCTAGGATAAGAACTACGGTAATGTATTTCTGTCTGGCTGAAAACTCTTTCAGATGAGTTTTACATTCTTCTCTCTTGCTTTAAACTGTGTGACAAAAGAAACAAAAATCACAATAGTAATAATTACAACTGGAATGAAGCATTTGCAATCATCTTTATGAGTACCATCAACTGATATTTAATCAACAATAAACAATATTCTCATAAGCTTTTAATAAATTGAGGTTGTTGCTTAGATGTATGAACTCAACCAAACCCAAAATATATAGAATATGAATTTCTGAATTTCTTTGAAATGTTTTGGCTTTTCAAAAGACATGGTTTGAAATATGTAAAACTGTATGTTTTTGGCTCACAAGAAAATAAAGTCACTTGAGGACTGTGAGGGAGCAAGAAAGAGAGAAAGAATGATGAACCAAAATTCAAAAGGTGCTCTAAGTCATGCAGAAGTCAGGGTTTCCCTCAGCTCCACACAAATAAGACAAGTCAAAATCCTCAAAAAAGAGAAAAAGTAGGTCCAGATTGTTAGCAAGTACACTAAATCATTCTAATTTACATTTGCTTAGTTTCTCATTCTGGCTCTTCTGGACAGCCTGCATGACCTTGGACAGGCCATTTAACGTTAACACTTAATATTTCTGAAATTCATTGTCTTTATTTAAAAATAAAGCTCAATATAGCTTAAAGTGTTGTTTTGAAAATCATAACAAGAGAATTCTTATGACAGCACATTTTTAATTTTGGGTAATATTCAAACTTGATACTGTTTTTAAAAAGATTCTCTTATGAGTGGGCGGAGCAAGATGGCAGAGGAGTAAGAGACCTGGATTTCATCTGGTCTCAGGAATTCAGCTGGATAGGGATCAAACCATTCTGAACACCTACAAACCCAACAGGAGATCGAAGAAAGGAATAGCAACAACTCTCTGAACAGAAAAGCGACCACTTTCTGGAAGGTAGGACGTGTGGAGAAGTGAATCCCAGGCGATATTCGGGAGGACAGATGGCGGGGGAGGGGGCCTCTGTAAGCTGCTTCTGGCAAGTGATAAGCAGAGCACAAAATTGGAACTTTTAGAAGTCTTCTCCGCTGAGGGACGTCGCTCCAGTGGCTAAGCGGGGGGTGGAACCCTCGTGGGACCCTCGGGGTCACAGAAAGACTGGGGTGCCTGAGTGCAGCAGAGCTCCCAGAGATCGGAATGGGGAAGCCGGCTGCAGAGACGGAGCCAGGGCACAGGCTCTCAGCTTGGGGTTGCCATAAACCATGATCCGCAGCACAGTCGGGCCACTGCTCCCCCAGCAGGGACCCAACAAGTGGCAGATCCGGGGAGACTCACCTTCCTCCCCTGGGAGGAGCGGTGTGGGAGCGCACTGCAGAGATCTGCTGGGTTTGGAGACTCCACACCAAGTCGGGTACCAGAGATAGAGATGCTCGGTCACAGGCCGGGTGAGCACGGAGTGCGGCCGGAGACCGGGGAGACAGGAGTGATTGACTGCTTTTCTCTGGGGGCTCACTGAGGAGCGGGGCCCCAAGTTCTCAGCTCCTCCAGGGCGGAGATTGGGAGGCCGCCATTTTCACTCTCGGCATCCAAAGCTGTATGGAAAGCTTGGAACAAAAACTCCTGAGAGCTAACCCGAGCAGATTACTTAGCCCAAACCGGCAAGGGCAAGGCAATCCGCCTCCAGCACAGACATTTGGGAACCATGGCAACAGGCCCCTCCCCCAGAAGATCAGCGAGAACAGCCGGCCAAGACCAAGTCTACTGATCAATGAAAATGGCAGAACTCCAGCGCTAGGGGAATAATGCACATAGAATCCATGGCTTTTTTACCATGATTCTTTAGTCTTTCAAAGTTAATTTTTTTAACTCTTTTTTTTTTTTAATTTTTCTTTTTCCCTTTTTCAACCAACATCTTATCAATCCCTTTTTTAACTGTTTTTTTTTTGTAGTTTTTAATTTTATTATGTTATGTTAGTCACCATACAATACATCATTAGTTTTTGATGTAGTGATCCATGATCCATTGTTTTCGTATAACACCCAGTGCTCCATGCAGTACGTGCCCTCCTTAATACCCATCACCCAGGTTAACCAATCCCCCCTCCCCCCTCCCCTCTAAAACCCTGTTTGTTTCTCAGGTCCATAGTCTCTCATGGTTCATCTCTCCCTCCAATTCCCCCCTCCCATTTTTCCTTTCCTTCTCCTAATGTCCTCCATGTTATTCCTTATGTTCCACAAATAAGTGAAACCATATGATAATTGACTTTCTCTGCTTGACTTATTTCGCTTAGCATAATCTCCTCCAGTCCCATCCATGTTGATGTAAAAGTTGGGTATTCATCTTTTATGATGGCTGAGTAATATTCCATTGTATATATGGACCACATCTTCTTTATCCATTCATCTGTTGAAGGGCATCTCGGCTCTTTCCACAGTTTGGCTATTGCAGACATTGCTGCTATGAACATTGGGGTGCATATGGCCCTTCTTTTCACTACATCTGAATGGTGCTGGGAAAATTGGACAGCCACATGCAGAAGAATGAAACTTGACCATTTTCTAACACCATTCACAAAGATAAAGTAGATTAAAGACCTCAATGTGAGACAGGAATCCATCAAAATCCTAGAGGAGAACATAGACAATAACCTCTTTGACATCGGCCACAGCAACTTCTTTCAAGATACATCTCCAAAAGCTAGTGAAACAAAAGCAAAAATGAACTTTTGGGACTTCGTCAAGATAAAAAACTTCTGCACAGCAAAGGAAACAGTCAACAAAACAAAGAGGCAACCCACAGAATAGGAGAAGATATTTGCAAATGACACTACAGATAAAGGGCTGGTATCCAAAATCTATAAAGAACTTCTCAAACTCAACACCCAAAAAACAAATAATCAAGTCAAAAAGTGGGCAGAAGAGATGAACAGACACTTCTCTGAAGAAGACATACAAATGGCTAACAGACACATGAAAAAATGTTCATCATCATTAGCCATCAGGGAAATCCAAATCAAAACCACACTGAGATACCACCTTATACCAGTTAGAATGGCCAAAATGGACAGGGAAAGAAACAACAAATGTTGGAGAGGTTGTGGAGAAACGGGAACCCTCTTACACTGTTGGTGGGAGTGCAAGTTGGTACAGCCACTTTGGAAAACAGTGTGGCGGTGCCTCAAAAATTTAAAAATAGAGCTACTCTATGACCCAGCAATTGCACTACTGGGTATTTACCCCAAAGACACAGATGTAGTGAAAAGAAGGGCCATATGCACCCCAATGTTCATAGCAGCAATCCCTTTTTTAAAAAACATTTTTATGTTTCATTTTTAGAGTCATATTCTATCCCTTCATAGTATATGAATTTTTGGCATATATATATATATAAGTTGTTCTTTCTTTAAAATTTTGAGATAGTTTCTTCTAACAGATCAAAATACACCCA